CAAGTGGGATCTGTGGTGGACAAAGTTGCTCTGGGGCGGGGTTTCTCCGAGTATTTCGGTTTCCCCTGTCAATCTTCATTCCACCAAATTCTCCATCATCATAATCACCCGGGGCAGGCTACAATAGGCCAATCAGTGGCCGCCGTGCCGAGTGGACCCAGTTGGACTCCACCCTCACTAAGCGAATTAAAAAAAATGACTGATCCTCATCCGTTAGCTAACTCACCAACTAAGTGACTGACCCCTAACTTGTCCTCTTTTATAACATATCGGCACAGACCACACAGAAAACGCCGTTCCTCTGTTTCTAGTAGTAACGGCCGTTGTGTAGTTTATTTCGAAGTCGATTCCTAGCAACGCGTCTACATGCCATAATATAACAGAGTGGCTATAATAACACACTGATTTTGAAACGGATGAAAAAAGTAACTTTCGAAAAGGGTTTCATTTTCCGCGATGTCTAAACTTTATCTAGTTAGTTAGTTAGTTATTTAGAGAGGGTGGGTTTCCCCATGCACCGCGACCAGTTTGATCTATTGTGCTTCCCTCTATGATATTCTACCAGTCTCGTTACCCTACCGATAAATGGTGCGTACCATCAGTCCCGCCAAGCAAGCGAGTTCGGTNGAGTTCGGCCACTTGCTTAGCGGTGTCTATAATGCTTCCCCCATCTATCAGAGGCCTTAGAGACTATTGTTGGGCGGGAAACGTCCTGGAATTTGGCTCAGTGATCCCCTTTGGGGATATGAGGTTTCTTTTACGTGCCGTAAAGTTACGACACGGGACACACAGCTTAAAGTCCCTCCCGGAGGACTTGTTCCCTGAATTTTTCCGCCCTTAAAAATTCGACGACCTCCGCCGAGTATTTGAACCCGCGTACCACGAGTCATGAGGTGGGAACGTTACCTCTAGACTACGGAGGCCGCTAAACTTTATCTAAATAACATGACATGACAAGGAACCTCCTGTTTCAATAAAATAAGTCGAGCAACTGCTAGCTTTCCATGGGGCTGGTTATGTCCCATGTTCAGCTGATTGCGAGGAAAATCTCTGCCACTTATTATTGACGTACATTTTTCGAGACACCCTACTAACACCTGAACGTCATTAAGCTCAGAAAAAAACGTTTAAAACACCAGGCAGGAACCACAAAATATTTGAGAACTTAAAAAAAGAAACACATATATATAACATGGTTCAAACCCATCTCTGGTGTATTTAATGGATTTTAGCGCCATTCTAACAGGTACGCGCTTATTACTCCACTTCGATAATTGATTTTATTGGATCTACGAGTGAAAGAATCTACCGATAAGTCTAACTTCACAACGGTTACAAAATATAACATCTAATGTAATAAACATTTAAGTATTAATTTTCTTCTGTTTCCAACGGCGGACCTAATACAGGACACCAAAAGGTATTATAAAATGTACTCCGTACTGTTACCAATATGTACGGCAACCACAGCTGTTAAAGCGAAGTGCAAATATTGCGGTAGAGTTTCTAGACGATATTCGAATCCTCATTCGCAATTTTGTATTTTAACTACGCAGGTAAAAGTCAGTGTTTTAAACCAAGTTTTATGCGTTCTTCAGAGTTTTAGCTACTCCATGCTGCGATACTGACACGGAAAGCAACCACACCCCGAGCGCTTCTTCTAGTAAAATATACACAAATAAGAATGTTCATTATAAAAGGAACACAGAAAACTGAAGAAAAAAAAACAAAGGAGATTAGAGATAAACACAAAGGAGAAGTCAGAATTACTGTTTCTCTTTGGATTTTGTCTATCGTTCGGTATTCTTAAAACTAGATAACTCAACGTTTCGAATACTGGATCTGTGTCCCGTGTCGTAACTTTACGGCACGTAAAAGAACCTCATATCCCCAAAGGGGATCACTGAGCCAAATTCCAGGACGTTTCCCGCCCAACAATAGTCTCTAAGGCCTCTGATAGATGGGGGAAGCATTATAGACACCGCTAAGCAAGTGGCCGAACTCGCTTGCTCGGCGGGACTGATGGTACGCACCATTTATCGGTAAGGTATAGAGACTGGTAGAATATCATAGAGGGAAGCACAATAGATCAAAACTGGTCGCGGTGCATGGGGTAACCCACCCTCTCTAAAAATAACTAATAACTAATACTGGATCTGTTTCCATCCTCAGGTGAGGGGGAGACACCTACTCTGTTGGGTCGTTTAGAAAGAGCTAACCTCAATCACTGGACAGCCCATGTCAGTATGACTACAGCCTCAGGTATCTTTATGCTCTATCACAATGTTATTGCATTATCTCCTTCCGAAAAAGTCTGGTCTCATGTATGTACGTAGCTGTTATACTGACACGGGTTGTCCAGTGATTGAGGTTAGCTCTTTCTGAGGAGCCCAACGCCCAGCGATCTAAGGCATGTACTGTCTTCGCTCGCTTGGAAACCGGGATCGTGGGTTCGAATCCCACTCGGGGCATGGATGTTTAGCCTGTGTGTGTGCGTTTTTCTGTGTTTCTGTACAGGTAGAGGCCTTGCGACGAGCTGATCACCCGCCCAAGGAGTCCTACCGAATGTGTAAGATTTAGAAAAACCGAAGTAAACGGAGAAGTTCATGGAGGTAGGCCTAGGCCCACTGGGGCTGTAGTGCCAAGAAAAAAAGGGGAGCAACACATCATGTGTCTCCCCTTTCACCTGAGGACGGACAGAGATCCAGTTTCCAAAACTTTGTGTTCTCTAGTTATTATAATACCGGATGATGGACAAAGTCCAAAAAGCCTGTAATTCTGAGTGTTTTACACCATCGTCAGAATCCTTTAGAATTTATAAACAGTGGGAATCGACAGTTGATGTGACAGGGCCTGCTGATCAGATCACAGAAGCATCAACCCCAAACAAATTTCCCCAGTGCTGTACTCTCGTATAGTGTCCATTCGGACATCCAGTCGCTTGTCTTGCTTAACATGAACTAATTAACTAACCAACTCCTTAGAGTGGAGATGTTCTTGAGAATCTAACAGATGCTCACCTACACAAGAAATCCTATGCCCTTTAAGGTATTCGAAAGTCCGTTGCCGTTTCTACAAGAGCGCCACTGGTACCAATTTTGAGTTTGGTATATCCAGGCCAGATTCTCACAACCCTCTACTTTACGATTCATTTTAATATTATCCTCCCATTTATGCTTCGGCCTTCTGAGAATTCAAACCAAAATATGTGTGTATTTGTTTGAGGCACTATGCTACAGGCCGAAAGGTAGAGGGGTAAATTCCCGATGAGGTCACTGGATTTTTCAACTGGCCTAATCCTTCCAGCCACACTATGGCCCTGGGGTCAACTCAGCCTCTAACGGAAATGAGTACCAGGAATCTTCCGGAGATTCGGACTGCCAACCTCCCAAATAAGAGACGAGAGCGTTTCCGCTACTCCGACCCGTTCACACACGTTGACGTTGGATTTCAGGGCGGGAAAACCGTGTGGGCCTGGTTCTCAATGACAAATGATGCGAACCAAGGACTCTGAGCCACGGGGATGCGCCAATCACGCTTTGGCGGTAATTCGCACTGAGCCCGGTTGTTTCATAATCAGACATATTTGCATGGCTCACACAGCAAAGACCGCGCAGCTGGGATGTTGGGTACACCTGCTCGACTTCGCGACTGGCATCACGTGGTGGCAGCACGCACCATCTGCTCTACAAACGTTATCCTGCGGAAGAAAAGTTCCGTGTATGTGTGCACTTCCCAACGGCGTATGAATACCGGCAGTATGTTCAGTAATCAGATCATTATCTTGGACACTCTTCACCTTTCTCCGTGTATTTATATTACACAGAGTTTCCGCCTGAGTTGGGTTTGTCAGAAGCACACAGTCTGTTTCACTGGAAGTAGTTCCAAACAAAATTTTGTTCCGAATAATGACGTAACGAGTCTACGTCACTGACTAACTATGATGCATCCTTGTCTTCATAGTCGATGGAGTATACAGAAATCAACTAGTCAACCAAACTATCAAACTCCATGGTGGCGAATCCCTCTTGAGGCGATAACCGTAAACAGTAATGAATATTGAAATTAACTCTATGTCATTACTGATTTCCGACAGGAACCTCTTGTTCTACGGAGGCTGTTAACTTCCGCTGATGATACAGAGATGCGAGATCCCTTCAGATCTGGAGTTTTTCGTCCACGTGTAACTTCAGAGTCTCCTATACTGAGGGAAATTCTATTAAGGAATAAGATCCATTTTTATGGGCTTCACGAGCACTGAAATGTGGCCTCTTCGAGGGGGAAAAAGGAATCACAGACACAACATATCTCTACATATTTTCCAACACTTTTCGATTTGGTTGAAGAAACACTTTTCCGAAGGTAGAGCTTCTTTAGTCGTCGAGCTCGTTTCTGTTTTTTAACGGAACCTATGGAAAGAAGTGGTCGTGGCCTAATCTAGGCACTATTCCTGCATCTACCTGAAGTGACCGAGGAAAATCACAGAAAACCTCTGTTAGGACAACGAGCGACTTCTAAACACCATGCCGTCAGTTATGAGTGTGCAGTCCAATGTGTCACGACCGTTGAAGGGCGACAGTATTCTCCGATACCTACCACTACCGACAGGGATGAATTATGCGCGCGCAGCTACTGGTCCGCGGGCTGCAGTTTACTGAGCCCTCTACTAGCAGAAAAACATCATCTCTACAACACAAACATATAAAACTTTAAGATATGAAGTGTGCTGCTGTCTCCTGGGATGTGATGAAGCGTTAGTCTGGTAGACGTTTCGGAGGAATTTCTGTTTCACTCCTCAGGGTCGAAGAGTAGGCCAAGCAAGAAATGTGACATGAAATATAGCTGACTACTTGATTTCTTTTCTCTGCGATCAAGATGTTCCTCCGAAACGACAGTGAATTAGTATTGCACTGCACAGCGTTACATCGCGGAAGACACACATACACCGCTATGAGAACCTAAAATCCAACAATAAAAGCCTGAAGATATGACTAGCATACCGGTAAGTATGTTTCCTTCGGCCATCGCTCTCAGGACGGCGAGGAAGGAGACGATGAAAGCGACTGCTGTGAAAATCATAGTGCCTGGGGCTCGTCCGCTATGCACAGCTCAGCTACCGTCTGCAACAGAAAGAAACAGGTCACATACATCGCCATAGCTCAAGCGGTTAGTCGCTGGCTTCCCACCGCGGCGGCCCGGGTTCGATCCCAGGTCTGGTCAAGTGGGATTTGTGGTGGACAAAGTGGCGCTGGGGCAGGTTTTCTCCGAGTACTTCCGCTCCCCTGCCAATCTTCATTCCACCAATTGCTCTACAATCACCCTCACCTATCATCTGGGGCTGGTACAATAGGCCAGAACTGGCCGCAGAACACCCCACTAGCAATAAAAAGAATACGTCGCTATAGCTCCATTAAAACACTAACAGATTTTTTCTAGACAACTTTCATTATTTTGAAAAAAGGGACATTTATCAGACCGCCTCTGTGGTCTAGTGGTCAGAGATCCTGCCTACAGATCCATAGGTCCCGAGTTCGAGTCCCGACGCTATCAGATTTTCTGGGAAGTAGTAGGTCTGGAAAGGGGTTCATTCAGCCTTGTGACGATAATTGAGGAGCTATTTCAAGGATGTAGCGGTTCCAGTTTAGAAAACCGAGATTAACGGCCGTGGGGATCCGTTGCGCTGACCACGTGACACCCTCTATCCGCAAAAGTTGGCAATAACTTCGCCGACAACCGGCAGTCGCCCGGTCGGTATAGTTCGCTTGCGAACTACAGGCCACGGAGGGGAATTTATCAGATCACCTTGCTGTGTTTGTTTCAACAAAAGATTGGAACCAGAAGCCCCATACCGGAGATACCGTTTAATAATATGGCATGCAGACCCGTTGCTAGGCAACGACGGCGAAAAAAGCTATACAGCAGCCGTTGCTAAGTAAGGGCTCCGCAAACAAGCATGTCCCTACGGCAACAACTGCACAGCAATAAAGGAACGGTGTTTTCTGTGAGGTGCGTGCCGAGATGTTATAAGCAGGACAAGTTAAGAGTCAGTTGGTCGGTAACTTATTGAGTTAGAGGACTGCTGCGGTTTAGTCGTTGTGAGCAGTTGCTGTTGGAAGTTGGTAGCTGAGGCCGACGACAGTTCGGGAACCCAGAGAAAGAGGAACGTTCGCCATTGGAAGCCGCTAATAAGCAACGGCTAGTCTGAATACTGCTCTGTGTGTAACAGGGATTTGTAAACTGTAGTCAAGTGTAGCGTACGAATTCAGTAAATCCAATTACCGATCCAAACCCCTTCTATAGTCATTCTCTCACGTGATTTTTCTTCGGCAAAGTTGCCTACTCCCGGCTTGACGTGTTACTTTTGGATGTTTCACAGAGACTCGACACTGCTAGTGCACCGCATGTAGCACACAACACGTTCCAATGGGAACTAAACCGGGGAAGATCGTGGTACTGGGTAACGCCAGATCAGTCGGTCAGACAGACCTGGGTGATTTCATGCGGGATTCTTGGCGGGTAAAGTTTCAATTGAGCATTAATTTCCACAAGTTGCTTCCGTTTGTTCCTGTTAATGACAATTCTGCCATTGCTCAATAATCATCATCCCCCTGAATTGCGCGACAGTCCTGACCAGACAGCATATTTTCACACTTGACGGTCATTTTAAAAAGGTAAATCTATTTCTGTAACATGGCGTGAAGGCCCATAGGGTTGTGAGACATCGAGGCTCCCGCATTTTCTAGAAAATCGCCTCAGAGATGGCAGTGAGTTTGTCGGCCTTACGCGCTGGCCGCCCTTTACCCCCCCCCCTCAGGAAGATTCCTGGTACTCATTTCTGTTAGAGGCTGGGTCGACCCCAGGGCCATAGTGCGGCTGGAAGGATTAGGTCAACTGAAAAATCCAGTCACCTCATCTGAAATTGAATCCGCGACTTCCCGGCTTGCAGCGTAGTGCTTCAAACTCTACCACGCTGAACAGAAGGATGACTGAAGAACTGTTAATGGTTTAATCGAGGTACTATCCTAACATCTGGTCGGAGGAACTGTGGAATACCATGAGAAAAACCTCATTCGGGATAGCCGGTGCCGCAGCCGTGATTCGAACCAAGAATGTAAGGAGTATGAATCTAGAGCGTTACCACTACGCTAACCTGTTCGGCTCTGCGGTTTCGAACACGGGTGAATTAATGTGAAATTTATGAGGGACAAAGCGGCAGAGAGAGGAACATTTTCCTCCAGCGGACTTCATCGGTTTTTCCCCTGCTAATCATCATTCCACCCCTGCTCCATAGCACCGCCCCCTGAGGTGTACGATAACCCTGACAAAGCAGTGCATTATCACTGCTATATCTGCCATCGAGCAGTTTGGTGAATCGGCGAGGCAAAGGTATTTTTGGATGAAATTTATTGTGGTTTTATTCAGTCACTCTACCCAAATGCCGGGATATTACTTCTATTTAGCGACGATTATTTCCTTCCAAATCCCTTTCAATTTATCATTCATCTGTCACAGCCATTCAGTGTTATAATCTACGTGAGGCTGCGCCATAGCTCAGGCGGTTAGTCACTGGTTTACCACCGCGGCGGCCCGTGTTCGAGCCCGAGTCAGGTCATGTGGAATTTGTGGTGGACAAAATTGGCGCTGGGGCAGGTTTCCTCCGAGTACTTCGCTTTCCCCTGGCAATCTTCTTTCCACCAATTACTCCACAATCACCCTCACCTATCATTTGGGGCTGGTACAGTACGCCAGGTGTGGCCGCAGTACCAAGTGGACTTAGTCTCACCCCATGAGAAAAAATGTAGGTAAGGGCAGCGTTGTAAAATAATTTATAGATAAAGAGATCTGTGACGTGGCATTTCGTTTCGTTCAAGTGTTTAGTAGTTGAATTTTTACACATTATTTAGATGAACTCAAGGCTCTGACAGGTCTCATAGAGCTGTACACCATCCTGAACCCATCAACATTCCTTAGCTATCAGCCGGGTAGGTTACAAACCGAGGCATGGGCTTCTTCGCATTACGCAACCATCAAGAGGAATTTCAGGAAAGTGAGGATACAATCAGTTAACATTAAACAGATGTCGAAGAAGTGACGAAATATCGGTGTACACTGGACAAATATAGTCCAGCCTCGGCGGCAGAAGCACCCGTCGGAAGTGAAGGTCTCTGATGCATAGCGCACAGTTACCGTACAGACTCAGCCAGGATAGCTCGGTCGGTATAGTGGGTAGGCTACGGGCAGTCGGAATTCGATCACTGAGTGACCCAATGCGACATGAGACCCTATGGACATATGAAAGACTGAAGATTCTGAGATCCAGTCCCTACAGGAGCAAGATTTTTCTCCTGTCCACGTCATCCAGACGGGTTCTGGGGCCACACAGCCTCCTATCCAATGAGTACAGGGGGCTCCTTCGCCGGGGGGTAAAGCGGCTGAGGCGTGAAGTTTGCCCCTCACCTCCAACTAGTGCCCAGGTCAAGAATACCTGGTTCTATACATCCACTCCCCCATACACCTTCATGACGTAGTGCTTACTTTATTCAGCACAGCGAGAACTTTACCTTTAAACATATACAGTCATACACTTGTGGGCACGCGGTAGCATAGTTGCTTCAGGAACTATGCTACAAGCCAGAAGGTAAGCGGGTTCGATTCCCGATGAGGTTATTGGTTTTTCTATTGACCAAATCCTTCCAGCCGCATTATGGCCCTTGGGTCGACACAGCCTGTAACAGAAATGGGTACCTGGAATCTTCCTGCGAGTAAAGGGTGGCCGGCGCATAAGGCTGAAAACCTGGGAGCCTCGACGTCTCACAACCGTATGGACTTCCACGGCCTGTTACAGGGAGAGCTTTACCTTACATATTACACACACACTCGTATATAGAACCCATATACACACTGGGGACCCTTACCTCACGTAATGGACTAGACTAAATGCACAGCACATTATCGAAGTCATGGTACTATTTCGACGCATGACCGATATAGGCAACATCGAAATAACTGATAGAACAAAGTCACAAACAAAATGTAAGGGGAATCAGTGGCCGCGCTTACAGACACAGAAAAATAAACCAGGAGATTATTGATGAGTTACCTAATCTTTCGCAGTTATTTAATTGTTCTTTCAGCGTCGAGACTGTATAGCATCGGGTGGCAGGATCACTGATCAAGTGGAAAGGATTCGTGCAGCTACTCAAGAACTTCCCAGCATTTTATGGAACCAGAAGGTTCATTACCGTGTTCACAAGAACCCACTAGTGATCCCTTTCCCGAGGCTTCTTGAGATCTTTCGTAACAAGCTTATTTTTTATGGTGGGTTGTTAGCTCCACAACCAACCCCTAAACTGCAGGACCACCACTGGTCGGCCGTCCACGACTGCTTATTCAGTATGTTCGCAGTTACCCTATCCTAAGCGGCCTCCGTAGTCTAGAGGTAATGTTCCCACCTCATGACTCGTAGTACGCGGGTTCAAATACCCGGCGGAGGTCGTCGAATTTTTAAGGGCGGAAAAATTCAGGGAACAAGTCCTCCGGGAGGGACTTTAAGTCGTGGGTCCCGTGTCGTAGCTTTACGGCACGTAAAAGAACCTCATATCTCCAAAGGAGGTCACTGAGCCAAATTAACGGACGTTTCCCGCCCAACAGCAGTCTCTAATACCTCCGGTAGATGGGGGAAGCATTATAGACACCTCTCAGCTAGTAGAGACGGTCTCGCTGGTTGGGTGGGACTGATGGCAAGCACCAGTACCGGTAGGATATAGAGACTGGTAGAAATCATAGAGGGAAGCACAATGGACCAATACAGGTCTAAGTGCATGGGGAAACCCACCCTCTCCAATAACTAACTAACTAACTACCCTATCCTACATACCTGGAGGGCGTCTCCTCCATCCGCAACCCGAGGACGCGCCACGCCGTGGTGACAAAGGACCTACCTAACATGGCTCGGTAACTAAGGAATACATTTCCTTTCAGAGGGACTAATAAAAACAACACAACGCACAACAACCGCTTACCACATACACGGAAAATCACGCAATGTCCACAGAATTAGTGAGTGCGCGCGCATGTGTGAAGCAGGTGACATGTCTGAATGTCTCACAGAAGATGAATT